TGGTGATTCAATAACTTGATAAGTATCAGGAGTATTAAAGGAGGGCCAGAGGTATCACTGGCAAAAGAGCAGTAGTCACTTATATTAGTCAAAAGTGAGAAACTTAGTCATTTTTGTAGTTGCAAAGTGTCTTTTCTGTTTTGCTCTAACCATTGACATGAAGTATCTTTATATAGACATTTTCTATTCTGTTAGCATTGTTTTATTTGAGTTAGGAATATCATGATCTGGCTAGCAGCTGCTAGTTAGGCAGTTTTTAATTTTATCACATGATTAAAATTTTAACCCCTTGAGGGGTAAATTAATCAGCAAATTAGCTGAAGAGAGAATTAGCAAAATTGAAGTTAGATCTGAGGAAATTAGAATGTAGCACAAAGACTTACAGAGATGGAAAATTAAGAGCAGATGAGAGACTCAGAGGATAGAGCAACAAGGTCCAACATGCATATAATAGGCATTCAGGAATAAGAGAACAAAGAGAAAGAAAGGAGCGGCAATATTTAAAGTGATAACATCTGAGAACTTTCCAGAATTGATAGAAGATGTGAATGTTCATGTTCAAGAGGTACAATGAGAATGCAATAGAACAAATACAAATAAAACTGCATTGACAATATTTAAGCATATACTGGTAAAATCTGTACATCAAACCCCCACAACGCACAATTTACCTATTTAGCAAACCTGCACATGTACCCCTGAAACCAAAATAAAAGTTAAAAATATTTGCTGGCTGGGCATGGTGGCTCATTCCTGTAATTCCAGAATTCTGGGAGGCCAAGGTGGGCAGATCACTTGAGGTCAGGAGTTCCAGACAAGCCTGGCCAGCCTTGTCTCTGCTAAAAATTCGAAAATTAGCTGGGTGTGGTGGCAGGTGCCTGTAATCTCAGCTACTCAGGAGGCTGAGGCAGGCGAATTGCTTGAACCCAGGAGGTGGAGATTTCAGTGAGCCAAGATTGCACCACTGATCTCCAGACTCAATGACAGAGAGAGATCCCATCTCAAAAAACAACAAAAAAAGAAAGTTTATAGAAATTACTAAAATTTATCAGGAAGCACAAACTGTAAATAAACCTATTAAAACCTACCTATTAAAACACAGAAATGATTAAACTGGAAAAAAAATATTCAGTCATGTGTTTTACAAGACTTAAAAGACACTAAAACCAAAACCTTGGAAAATTTGAAAGTAAAAGAATGAAAAATATATATTATGCAAATACCTACCAAAAAAACCCTAGAGAAGCCCTAATAAAATAAGTTCCTCAAAGAAATTTAAAAAAAAAAAAAAAACCACTGTGACATAAGAAAGGGTAGACATTTAATAATTCAAAAAATAACCAGGGAAAATATAACAATTCTAAGTTTTTAAACACCTGTTAATATAGCCTCAAATATATAATATATAAAAATATATAAAATTAACAGTATTATACGAATAAGTTGACAAATCCACAATTATTGTAGGTGATCATAGCAGTTTTCCGTTGAAAAATCAAAGAAAAATTTAAAAGCATGTGGATGATTTGCACACTATTAACAGCTTGATCTAATATACATATATAGAATTGCACCCAACACTTATAGATAAAGCATTTTATTCAGGCACACAATATACCAAAACTGACAATGAACTTGGGCCACAAAGGAGGTCCCAGCGGAGAATCCCTCATATGTATTAGGCATGTACCCTGTGCCAAACTAAATGCTTTAGCGCTTTATATATATAATATGGAACAATACAACATTATATATAAAATTTAATCCTCACAACAACCGTACTTGGGTGGGCACTATTGTTATCCCCATTTTAAAGACGAGAAAACTCAAGCTAGAAGAAATTAAGAAAATTGCTGACGTTTATCAACCGATAAATTGGAAGATGGGGTTCAACTAGCACAATCTACAGATGTGCACCTTTTAGAAAAAAATTTTAAAGATACACACAAGCACATAGTCTCAACACCCTGAATTAACAAGTTTAACCATTTAGTTGTATTTCCTAGAATCTTTTCCTTCTTTCTAAAAGATATACCACACTTGACCAAGAAGCAGCTTTTCTGCTCCTTCTGGGATCGCTGTCTGGTTTGGCCCACCTGCCTCCACTCCTGCCTCCACCATGTCCATCAGGGTGACCCAGAAGTCCTACAAGATGCCCACCTCTGACCCTCGGGCCTTCAGCAGCCGGTCCTACACGAGTGGGCCCGGTGCCCCGCATCAGCTCCTTGAGTTTCTCCGGAGTGGACAGTAGCAGCTTTCGTGATGGCCGGGGCAGCAGCTATGGTGGGGCCAGCGTCATGAGAGGCATCACCACAGTCGCAGTCAACCAGAGCCTGCTGAGCCCCCTTGTCCTGGAGGTGGACCCCAACATCCAGGTGGTGAGCACCCAGGAGAAGGAGCAGATCAAGACCCTCAATAACAGGTTTGCCTCTTTCATAGACAAGGTACGGTTCCTGGAGTAGCAGAACAAGATGTTGGAGACCAAGTGGAGCCTCCTGCTGCAGCAGAAGACCGCTGGGAGCAACATGCCCAACATGTTCGAGGGCTACTTCAACAACCTTAGGTGCAGCTGGAGACTCTAGGCCAGGAGAAGCTGAAGTTGGAGGGGGAGCTTGGCAACATGCAAGGGCTGGTGGAGGACTTTAAGAACAAATATGAAGATGAGATCAATAAGCGTACAGAGATGGAAAGTGAATTTGTCCTCATCAGGAAGGATGTGGATGAAGCTAACATGAACAAGATAGATCTGGAGTCTCACCGACTGATGAGATCAACTTCCTAGGGCAGCTGTATGAAGAGGAGATCCAGGAGCTGCAGTCCCAGATCTCGGACACATCTGTAGTGCTGTCCATGGACAACAGCCGCTCCCTGGACATGGACAGCATCATCGCTGAGGTCAAGGCACAGTACGAGGAGCTCGCCAACTGCAGCGGAGCTGAGGCTGAGAGCATGTATCAGATCAAATATGAGGAGCTGCAATGTTGGCTGGGAAGCAGGGGGATGACCTGCAGCGCACAGAGACTGAGATCTCTGAGATGAACCTGAACATCAGCGGGCTCCAGGCTGAGATTGAGGGCATCAAAGGCCAGAGGGCTTCCCTGGAGGATGCCATGGCAGATGCTGAGCAGCGTGGAGAGCTGGCCATCAAGGATGCCAACGCCAAGCTGTCCGAGCTGGAGGCCGCCCTGCAGCGAGCCAAGCAAGATACGGCATGGCAGCTGCGTGAGTACCAGGAGCTGATGAACGTCAAGCTGGCCCTGGACATCGAGATCGCCACCTGCAGAAAGCTGCTGGAGGGCGAGGAGAGCCGGCTAGAGTCTGGGATGCAGAACATGTATATTCATAGGAAGACCACCAGCAGCTTTGCAGGTGGTCTGAGCTCGGCCTATGGGGGCTTCACAATCCCCGGCCTCAGCTACTGCCTGGGCTCCAGCTTTGGCCCTGGCGCGGGCTCTAGCTCCTTCAGCCGTGGTTGTGAAGAAGATCGAGACCCGCGATGGGAAGCTGGTGTCCGAGTCCTCTGACGTTCTGTCTAAGTGACAGCTGCGGCAGCCCCTCTCAGCCTACCCTTTCTGCGCTGCCCCAGAGCCTGGGAGGGAGGCCACTGTGCAGGGGAGCACAGGGAACAGGAGACCCACCTGAGGCTCAGCCCTAGCCCTCAGCCCACCCGCGGGGGAGTTTACTGCCTGGGGACCCCGCTTGCCCATGCCTCCAGCTACAAAATAATTCAATTGCTTATTTTTATTTTTATTTTTTGGTCCAAAATAAAACCTCAGCTAGTTCTGCCAATTGTTAAAAAAAAAAAAAAAAAAAAAAAGATGTAGCACACTTACAGTCAAGTCCCCTTTGACAACCTCTCCCAGTTTGACTCCCAATGCCTTTTCTCCATGGTGGGTATATATCCTTCAAGTTTACATTTTATATATTTGTAATAACCATTGCCACCATTAGAATTATACAATATTGCTTTGATGAGAATGGACATGTAAATGTGTACATATGTATGGTATAAATTTTAATAGTTCTATGGAGAACATAGGGTGGGGCATTTTGAGTAGGAAAAAAATAGCTTATGATATAAACCAAAAACAGTGAGAAATTTAGTGAGGCTAGAACATAAGCTGTATGAGAGCAAGTGTCTAGAGACATAAATTGGGACCAGATTTAAAGCATTTTTTTTTAATACCACAGTAACAAGATTGGACTTTATCCTGTAGGAATAAGAACAGTTATTTTTTCTTTCTAAGGAAGAAAGTGGTGTATTCAGATACTTTTAAGTAAAATAGAAACATCATAATGTCTTATCTCAAATAATGTTCCTGTATAACATAATACAATTATTATCCATAATACAATTAATAGTAATTTCCTTAATATAATAAAATATCCTTTTGATATCAAAATTTCCTCAATTATCTCCAGTATGTCTTCTGAAACTGGTTTATTCAAATCATGTTCTAATCAAATACCACACATTGCATTGCAATTGGTTCATCTCTTCAATCCCTTTTGTTTTAATAAAGCCCCCCATCACTCTTTTCATATCATTAAAATGCTGAAGACACTTACAGAACATCTCACTTCTAGATTTTCCCCAATTTTTCCTTTTGATATTGTTTTAACTTTTTCCTCTGCCCTTTGTATTTCCTACAAAACAGAATTTAGGCTTAAAGCTTGTTTTGATTCAGGTTAAATATTTTTAGCAAGAATACTTGATAGGTGATGGTGTGTTCTCCACATTGTAATACATCAGGAGGTACATGATATCTGGTTGTTGACTAAAAATGGATGCTAAGATTAATCACTGAGTTAAGCATTGCAGGTCTCACCATTGCACTGTTGTAGTTTATGTTCTTCTCCCAGCAAGTAATCTTTGGGGTGATGACTTGGCATTGGATACATTGTCATCCTGTCTCTCCTTATCACTTCACCAATGGCTCTGGCATACATTGGTGATCCTAGTTTCAATCACTAATTTCTTTTTTTTTTTTTTTTTGAAACAGAGTTTTGTTCTTGTTGTCCAAGCTGAAGTGCAATGGCTCAATCTCGGCTCACTGCAACCTCTGCCTCCCAAATTCAAGCAATTCTCCTGCCTCAGCCTCCCGAGTAGTCGGAATTACAGGCATACACTACCACACCCAGCTAATTTTGTATTTTTAGTAGAAACGGGGTTTCTCCGTGTTGGGCAGGCTGGTCTTGAACTCCTGACCTCAGGTGATCTGCCTGCCTTGGTCTCCCAAAGTGTTGGGATTACAGGCTCACGCCTCAATCAGTAATTTCTTTAGGGGTTACAAAATGGTAATTTTCTAGTTTTGTTACTTCTTCTAGATGTATTTGCTGTCATTCCTTTGTAAAGTAGAGCCTTTTCTTATTAGCTGAGATTATTTAGTTGCCCTGATATATAAATCTTACTAAAAAAAACTTAGTTATAAATACTTAATTATAGGACATATACGACCGGGCTATTTTGCCTCTGCAAAGAACCACTATGAAACTTTCTGATCATAATGCAATTGAATGAGAAATCATTAATAAAAATACCTGAAATAATATTTATGTTTAGATATTTAAAATAGGTTCTAAATAAATTGTGGGTCAAAAGCAAATTGAACATGAAAATTGACCGATATTTATAAAAATAATAACCTTAAACAAAGTAACAAAATACCAGACAAACAAGGAGATTCAGAAAAAAAAATAAAGGGAAAACAACTATAAGCAATTTTACACCAAGAAATTAAAAAATTTAGACACAATGTACAACTTTTTAAGAAAAAATAATTTACCAAGAACAAGTAAAACACTTGAATATAACTACTGAATTAATTTAATCAGAAGTTTAAAATGTTCCTCCACTAAAAACACTGTCCACTGAGGTCAGAAAGATTTATGACAGAGTGCTACTGAACAACTAAAGAACAAATAATACTTGCCTTGTGCAAACTGTTCCAGAGAATAGAAAACAAGGCAATAACCCACAGCTATTTTATGAAAATAATATAAATGTAATACTAAAAACAGACAAGAGCAGTGTGAAAAATATTAAAGGCTATTAAACTGCTAACTGTTCACCAGAATTGTTCTCTCTTTTTTGGGGCATGTGATGAAACAATATTTCTTAATCTTCTTTATAGTCAGATGTGGGCATGTGACAATGTTATATTGTAATAAGTGGAAGTGATGTATCCCACTGACAAAATATAGAGCATAAAAAATTCCAGCCACAGTCCTCCAGGCTCTTCCCCTTTGTGACTGACTGTAATGGTGACCCCTCAAGGCCACCACAGAAGACACAAATTCAAGATGGCAGAGCCCCAGACTGTGTCCCTGAGAAACCACATGTAGCAGATATTTACATTTCATATAACTGACAAAGGATTAGGATCCAGAGTATAAAAACAACTCTTATAAGTGATAAAAAAAAAAAAAAAAAAGAAGAAAACCTTGAGAAGACAAAGGATATTGATCAGGTAATTCAGTAAAAGTAAAAAAAAAAAAAAAAAAAAACCAAACAGATGGCCAATAAAGAAATGCCAAAGTGCTCAATCTCACTAGTAACTACTGAACTCTAATGCAATACTGCACTGAGATATCCTTACTAGATTTTGTTTAGCAACAAAATTTATATGTGACGATAACAAGTGTTGGTGAGACTAGGAAGCAACAAGAATTCTTTTCTTTGTTTTTTGTTTTTGTTTTTGTTTTTTTTGAGACGGAGTCAGGCTCTGACACCCAGGCTGGAGTGCAGTGGCGCGATCTCGGCTCAGTGCAACCTCTGCCTTCCAGGTTCAAGCAATTCCTTGCCTCGGCCTCCAGAGTAGCTGGGATTACAGGCGCCTGCCACCGTGCCTGGCTAATTTTTGTATTTTTAGTAAAGACGGGGTTTCACCATCTTGGCCAGGCTGGTCTTGAACTCCTGACCTCATGATCCACCCGCCTTAGTCTCCCAAAGTGCTGTGATTACAGGCATGAGCCTCCGCGCACGGTCAAGAACTCTTTTCTTTCATTCACTGATGACAGAAGCATAAATTGGAGAATAATTTAGTAAAATCTAATAAAGTTAAAAATAAATTATTTCTTATATTCCAGCAAGTCCATTCTTTGGTATACATTCTAGAAAACAATCACACATGTGCACAAGAAACATTGACAAGAATCTTTGCAGAATTTTATCTTTGCATAAAGAGCAAAGCGTAGAAACAAAAAAACACCAGCAAGAGAATGGCTAAATACAGATATACTATATAGCAAGAAAACTAAATTCTCTTAAGTAATATGTATGAACCTGGATAATTCTCAAAAACATTATGTTAAAGATAACACAGAACAAGTAGCAGAAGCATAGTACAGAAGATATGCCTTACACAACGTTCAAAAGCAGGCAAACCAATCATTGTGAGTACTTATATATGTAATCATGTACAGACATACATAATGATAAACACCAAATTCAGGATAGTGGTTGCCTTTAGAAAGGGAAAAAAGTTGTATGGCCGTATCACCCTGAATGTGTGATCTTGTTTGAGAGCAGAAGGTAATCAGGGTTGGAACTGGTTAGTACTTGTATTGCAGGAATGAAGAAAGATGAAAACAGGGAACTTCAACTGAGTCTGTAAGGTTTTTTTTTTTTTTCCTTTTTTTTTTTGAGGTGGAATCTCCTTCTGTTGCCCAGGGTGGAGTGCAATGGCACAATCTCAGCTCACTACAACCTCTGTCTCCCGGGTTCAAGAGATTCTCCTGCCTCAGCCTCCTGAGGAGCTGGGATTACAGGCACGCACCACCGTGCCCAGCTAATTTTGTATATTTTTAGTAGAGACGGAGTTTCACCATGTTGGCCAAGCTGGTCTCGAACCCCTGACCTCATAATCTGCTTGCCTCAGCCTCCCAAAGTGCTGGGATTACAGGCGTGAGCCACCGTGCCTGGCCAAAGTTTTATTTTAAAAAATAAGTGTATGAAGGACCTCATATAAATATAACAAAATGTTAGGATTTGACAAGGCTAGATCATATATTTTAAGGTGTTCAATAATTTTTTGTATGTTTAAAATGCAGTTGATCCCATTATTTATGGATGCAACATTCATTAATTTGCTTACCTGCTAAAATTTATTTGTAACTCCCAAGTCAATACCCATTGCACTTTTGCAACATTTGCAGATATGAACAGAGTGGTGAAAAAATTGTCACCCAATATGTACATTCTTACCTGAATCAGAACGAGATGATACTCTGCCTTCTTACTTTAGCTCTCATACTGTGAAAAATGTCCTTTTCACAGTCTGTTTAGCACTACATTGCTATCGTTTGGATGTTTGTTCTGATGCAGGGCAGGTGAGTGCCCAAATTGGAGGTTATCATGGGAAGGTTCCTGGCTTCACTCAGGAAATAATTGATTGGTGTTAGACAGCAACTTATATTGGAGCGGCAGTGTACAGCAGCAGCAGAGAAACTGCTACTTGCAGAGAAGGGGTACCCCATAATAGTGTGCCCAGAGTAGCAGCTCAGAGGCAGTTCTGTAGCCATGTTTATACCCACCTTTAATTATATGCAAATTAAGAGGAGGATTTTGCAGAAATTTCTAGAAAATGGGTGGTAACATCTGGGTTGGTTTGTTGCCATGGAAAAGGGTGGTAATTTCCAAGTGTTGCCATGGCAATGTAAACTGACATGATACTGGTGAGTATGTCTTGTGGAGGGTGCTTTCACCTCCTCCCTGTTTCAGCTAGTTTTCAGTCAGGTCTGCAGCCTGAGTCCTGCCTCTGGAGTCAAGTCCTGCCTCCTACCTCAGT